AAATTAGACTGATGGCATTTCACAAAAACAGGGTCACAACTGAGGTGTTATCTATGCACAAAAGAGTCATGACTTCATCCTTATTGGCTAATACCGCATTCCTGCCAGGAGCATTCGATAAGCATTTAAAAAGCATTATGATAAACATATCAAAAAGCATTGATAAACATAACACTATCTAGCTATGTAAAATACTGCAAGATCCATAAAAGAATTCTTAACGAGTGATCTGGGCTGAGTTTGAATTGAAAGATCAGAGCTGGGGGAAAAAAATAGACATCAAACAAGCCACTACAAGCCATAAGCCATGTATTTGAGTAATAACAGAATATCTCATTCGATTGCAAACGGCTTGCACTGCACCGCTGGGGAACAGAGAGAGAGAGAGAGAGAAGAGGGGAACAAGTTGCTTCTACCTTATCCAAGAATCATTTCTTCCTCCGCACCGCCTCGCTTCCACCACCAAGCCCCTCCAATTATAAACAAGGCAACTCCAGACCACACTTAACACTAGGGCAGTGTTTTAAGACCAAGCAAAACAGCCCCAAACCTTGCTGCCAAGGTCAATTGCAGGAGAGTCCTAATTGTAAGCTTGACATCAACTTACCACCCACAGAAGGCAGGAGGAGGCAAAGGTTAGAGCAGAAGTTTGTCAAAAGCGTCATAAGCTGTGAGGCTTCGGTGTAAAGGCCCAATCACTGCAGCCAATATAATGTTTCACTTGCATTAAAAAAAAAAGGTGGGGGCAGAAAGAAAATCATTGCGAAGGCACCTCCCCACCTCCCTTACCTTCCCAGTACCCTTCTCTTGTAAGCACTAAACTACTTTTTTGCTGAAAGAAACTTTCTTTTACCAAGGAAGGCTTGTTTTGCTTCATCTTTTCCTTTCTAAAATAAAATGATCTCATGCTTGTTTGGGGTGGGATATTTGGAGATCTCTTTCACGCCAGTATCTGTCAAAAAGTGATTGATGGAATAAGGAAGAGCTCTCACCGCACTGTTTTACATTTGTTTTTCCCTTTCAAATTTAATCCTTAAAAAACAAACAAACTGAAGATGCTCTAGTTATTCATATGGAAAAATATTGTCAGTCATACCCTGCATATTAAGAAAAATAAATTTGGCTTAAGGACAGTTAGCAGTTGCAATGGGCAATAAAATCCTTTGGAGAGTGGGAAATGCTAATTTTCAGTATGAAATGGTAGCTCTTAAGTAAATCACCTATTTTTTAACCCATCAAATTGATTGCCATTCCCACTCCACCCCCACCCCCAAAATTCACATGATATTCTTTTGCAAATTTCTATCTGCATTTCATTTCAGGCCAAAAAAAAAAATTGATTGAATTATGCCTCCCTCCCAGATGCAGGAAGATGTCCCTAAGAAATCTTTTTTACGGTTTTCATACCTGAAAGTGCATCAGCTGGATATAGCTAAGCTCTTAGACTTGTTCCATGCAGACTGTTAACAGTCTGATATCCTCTATCAGTTTCTCACCTTTAAAAAAATTCTCCACACCATTTAAGTACAATCCCCCAATATAAAAATAAAGGGTAAGAAATCTACATTAATGCATCACAATTTCCATTCTTTGGAAAGCACTTATTATTAGATTTTTATCCTGCCTTTATTTTTGGATAAGTAAAGATACCTAATGCCTCCACCTCCTATCTTCCCCACAACAACAACCCTGTGAGGTAGGCTTGGCTGAGAGAGAAGATAGCCCAAAGTCACCCAGCCAGCTTCTATCCTTAAGGCAGGACTACAACTCAAAGAGTCTCCTGGTTTCTAGCCAGCACCTTAGCCACTACACCAGATTGGCTCTCTTATAAACCCTCTGAAGCAGTAGCTAAGGTTAAATATGAAATCTACAGGCTCAATTTCCTACAGTACTTGACTACTACTATCTCTCAGGGTTATCCTGAGGTTACAAATGGAAGAAGAAACAAGGGCCGCATTGATACAACACACACAGAACCATCAACCGTTCACTAGCCACAATAGTGAGGTTCACTTTGCAAAGGCCCAACCAAACTAACCACATTAAGGCTTATATTTTCTGATTTATTGTTAAAGCAGAACAGCTATTCCACAGCAGATCAAGGTGTTACCTGCCTCCAATAACTCTGCCACATTAAATCCCACAATCCTTAAAGTACACAAGATGCTTGTTTGCCTATCTGAGTATTGGCCAATTTTTTGGATTAGGACTCCTACAATCCCAGACTAATGGCCATATTGGCTGGAGCTGACCAGAGCTGAGGTCCCAAATATCCGGTTCTCTCTTCTTGAGCACTTCCCTTTCAGAGCTGGAATGGATGGAGAACCACAGTGGGGTTCAGACAGTGTGTTAAACTATAATTTGCTTAATAGTTTTTTATTGGATAAATGAACCCACTCTAGCTGGGTTCACGCAACACGGGAGCCAAGCGTGTTTTGGCTTTGTTGTATGTGAATTCAGCCAGAGAGTTTAAAGAAATTTGGGAGATCAAACCTCCTGCTCAGTGCAGATTCTAACAGTGATTTAATTGATTGGCTGAACTGGATCTGCTGCAATTTGCTGTTATACAGGAGTTGGTCCAACTCATCTGAAAGGCACCAAATGGAAGTTGTTGTTTTTTTAATGTTATAGTAGCATCATCGGCTTATTCTCTATTCAAAAAATTCATTCAGTGAATCTTTAGCAGCGTCCTGCGAAGATAGGCGTCTGGGTGTCGCTGTCCATTTAATCTGATCCTTCAGACCCTAGGCATTAAAAACCCCAAAGCGGTGAAAATAAATCCACATTTCTAACCCGACCGGCCACGCAACACAGGCCGCGTCCCCCAGGTGGCGCAGCAGAGCAATCGAAACGTCCCGGATCCGCACGAGAAACAAACAATTCAGGGCGATTTAAGAAGAGTGGATGCTTTTCCTAGATTGATAACATACTCAAAGATTTATCAAGACGTTGCCTTTTTTCTCTCCCGCCTCATTTCTTCATATTCCGCAACGCCAAAGCGACAACCCAATGCCGAAGCCTTGCTGCAAATTAATTTGTGCGTGTGATAAATTGATTTAAGAAGTATTATTTTGGAACCTGGGTGCTCTGCAGCGGGAGCACGAATACACTTAAGCAGGCACATCTAAGTAATCGTCCGATTACTCTGGCTCCCCCCTCCAGCACGCAACTCCAAAGGAGTTATTAACCCTTTTGTTTCAAGACAGTCTCCGGGGTGGGTTCTCCAGCTGCCGGCAGCGAGATTTACATGTGGAAACATCACCTCCAACGCGCCCCCCCCCCGCGCCAGCTCCATCCTAACCAGATGCACAAAGGAAAAACAGTCATGCATTAAACATGGGATTTATAGCCTTCTGGCTCGCTCCCCGTTTTCTTAAATCACCATTAACCGGGCTCAACAATTGCACATTTGGACTGAAAAGAAAGAGGCAGGAGGGGAGGGGGAAAGAGACTCAAACCTCCTGCGGCTTGCACCCAGTACTGCACCCCCTTTCCAAAATATACATTTCTATCAATTGTGATGGCGGATCATTTATCATGGGATCTTCACCTCCCCCCCCCACTTCCTTAAAATAAAATTAAAAGAGGACCTCATCCCAAAGTTTGCATTTATGCCTGAGGAGCGGGGGAGAGATCTCAAATAAATCTGGGAGAGAGGCATATGGATTAGGGAAATATCTTAGACATAGTTTCCAATATCTATTTTAAAGTATTAGATTGTCTCCCCACCCCCACATCCGAAACTGCAAAGCTCAGGACTGTCTGCTAAACTGGCCATTCCTAAAGTGTCTTCCCTCCCTGGTGAGTCCATTCATCTCCCATGCGCCCCCCCCTAAAAAAAAAAAAGAAAAAAAAAGGGAACATGGATCTGAAATCCAGTTTTCCAAAACCTTTCAGGTTTCAAAGCCCCCATCTCAAATTCAGCACACCATCCTGAAATGTAAAGCCCCCCAATTTATATTTTGCCCAGTTCTGAGCTTTTACCAACTGCTTCTCTTTCAGTAACCCCCACCCCCATATCAAAAATCATTTAAATCTGCGAAAAGATAAAAACATGATCATTCTTTCTAAGCTATCAGTTATAAGAGATCAGCATTAGGAGGAGAAGAAAAAGTCGTTCCAAGCAGCTACTTCGGCAAGATTTTAAAAGCTCGCTGTCCTCCCCCCCCCCCCCCCCCCCCCATATTAGCTCACGGGAGTTATTTTAGGAAGTCGGAAATCAAAGATGGCTGGAGGTCAGGCTACAAAGGTCCCGAGCGATTGTAATCTCTCTCGGCGAGTTTTTAGTTATTAAAAGGGAGAAGCAGCAGCCCGTCCAAATAGGGACACAAACGGGGGGGGAGGGGGATATCACAAAAGGTATTTCGCAGTGTTCCTCTCGGCGGTCCCCTCCCTTCCAGAAATATTTAGGGAGTTACCTTCTGGCCGCGACTCTTAGCATATAAGGCTACGATTGCCTCAAAGTAATCTTGGGGAGGGGGGAGATGCTAGAGGCACCCTACAGTTAGGAGGCGAAAAACTTTTCCCAACCGGAGGGGGTTTGGGGGAAAGAGAATCGCCCACCAGGAAAACCTGGATTTTTTGAAAGAAAAATAGTCTGAGTTAAGAGTTCGATTCCCCCCATAAATTAAAATTTTTCCGAAGCTAGATCCAGCACGGACTCGTAAAGGGAACCAAGGCACAGGGAAAGAATGAAAAAAAAGGGGGGGTGTCTCACGTTAAGAAATAAAGATATACACACACTCTTTCCGATCTGCTCCCGCATTCGTGAGAAATCAGGATGAAACAGAAGTGGTCCAGATACAGAAAGGGTCTGTTTGGCTCAGGATCCCGGTCAAGGAACCCCGATGCGCAACGGGGTAGGTGGGAGAAAGAACCACTCACACGCGCACAAAAGCAAGCAACCCCCACCCCCGCCTCAAATCCGATCCCCTAGTTGATTTCTTTTTCCCATCAATTAAAGTTGGTAATTGACCGGCGTTCCCTCGGTCTTCCCTTACCATTTGCTACATCCGGGGACTGCTGCTCGTCCGAATGGATGTGCTGGGGCTTCGCCTGCTTGCGCCTCGACATGGTGCACACGCATCGGGAGCAAAATAGTAGCAATTATTTTCTTCTTCACAACAAATTCCTGGAGTTGGGAAATTACTCCCAAAGAGCGGAATGCGCATGTCAGAGTAATTATGATTATCAATAATGCATTGCGATTTATCATGGGTCCCTGACAGCTGATTGGCCTGAGTCCAAGAGCTCACAGATTATTCAAATAAGGTCCATTGATCAGGGAGCAGAAGGGGACGCTGGGCACTGTAGTCTCCCTCGCCCGCTCCAGTCCGCCGGGCTCGCCCGTGTAATTGAAGCGTGGACGCCGGACGCCGCGCGCAGGCGAGGGGTTTCGCGCAGGAGGCTCGACGGCCCGATTGGGTGGCATTTCCCTGAAGGGCAGGGAGCGGGAAAAGAGCCGAGCGGCAGCTCTCGAGTCCATCTTTGAAAGTAAACAAACAGCCGGGGCAGAACTGGTTTTCCTAGGCGGGCGCCCTTATCTTCCCTGGCATTGTCTTCTCCCTCCACGGGGAAGTTGAGGTCTGCTTGTGCGCGCGCGCGCGGCAGGGATCCTGCGAAGCATCCCCAGCTGGAGAAACGGGATTGTTCCCTCCCCCGTTACACGAAAGAAAACCGCTTCTCTTCCGTCCTCCCCTGGAGGAAGCGCCCGTGCGGACTTATCCTCTGCTTCTTTCCGTCAAGAAAGGGGGGAGAAAAGGGGGAGAAAAACAAAAAAGCGCTGGCTTCAAAGCGCCGCGCAGATTTACTCGGAAATCAGAGCCATCGAGCTCGATAGGAG